ATGAAAATAACTGCAGTAGAAAGAAAAATGAGCTTCACAGGAAGCCTAGTCAGAAAGAGCAACAATGCATGATTAAATCTTCCTGTTTGTCTTCCGTGGGATCGTTACTGTTCCAACCTGATTAAGGAAAGCATAAAAGTTCAAAGAAAGGTTATTGCATTATCCTTTTGCCTCAAAGATGGAATTCTAAAATTTTTCAGTGACTTCATTGTATAGAACAGACATGACTTTTGTGGAGTTCACATTTAAGTTTCTAACCAGTTATTTTATGTTAATTTTCTGTCCTTCACTCTAATTTCTATTTTCCCGCAGAATGTAGATTTCTAGCTTGCATAATATTTAAATGATGTAGAAAGACGAGACTATTTTAAAAAAGGATTTAGAGGGTAGAATTAGAGGATAATCTACATGCTTGAAGGCGACATTACTAATTTGATTCTCTTGCGAATAGTATTCTGTGCATTGAGTTATTCTTGCCATTAGTCTTGTTACACCAACCTCAGGTCAGAGCTAACTCCTGCACGCTATTCCAATTGTAAAGCCATTAGGCTAATTATTAGTTTTGCTTCACCCCATTATCTCTAATTTAAACTATAACTGTTGGCTTCATTTGAATTAATAAAAGGGTTTTTACACCCTTTCCATGTCTCTGTGGTACTTACACGGCATAGTGAAATGTCACATATAGTCTTTTAGAGTTGTGGTCTAGCATTCTTATGAAAGCAAATTTTTTCTCCAATTTGCTGAGGCAATTGTTATGGTGAGGTGTTGGTTAGGGAATATTAATTCACCTTTCAATTCAACTTAATTTGAATCCAGTTTAAAACAATTTTTTTTATTTATATTTTTTTTAAGATGCAGCAAACAGTGGGTAAGCACAGCAGTATACTAACACGATACCTAAAACTGGCATTAAAAGCAACAAAAACTTTAAATTGGGTCAACTGACATGATCTCCAATCATCTGGAAAATACTACCCCTAAACTCATTTCTGATTGGCTACTGCTTTCTGTCTCACTGTGTGAATGCAGAGGTATGAATCAGCCTTAATTAAAGTGATTTCAATTTAGTTCTGCATCTGCTATACTGCCCACTCATATGCCTGAAACAAACAGATAATAATATACCTCAAACAATATCCATGGACCATAGCTAATAGCGCTGTAATTTCATGAAAATTCCAAAGGAAAGAGAGAAAACTAATATACTCTTTCTCAGAATTGCTGCAATAAATGTTCAAGCACATTTTTTTTTAAATTAAAATTTCTAAAATGTAAGAGGGTTCTCATATACATGACTGTCTTATTTTTGAAAAATTATTTGTAAATCATTTACCATTTTTTTTTTACAATGTTCATATTCTTTCCACTGATTACACGGGAGATTTTCTTTTGGTTAACAGTGAGATTTAGGACTTAATTAGATCTACTGTTTTTAATATCATTACCTTTAATAGATTAACTATATATTCACTGACGACTGATATCTATTATCTAAGAAGTAAAGACTGCACAAACCAAAAATATTCTTGACAGTTTAATTAAAAACAATAAATTCTCAGAAAAACTACTTAAGGTAAATTCTGTTGTCATGCAATATCTTACAGTTTACTTCTATTTGCTGAGCATCTCAACTGCTTCAGCTTCAAAGACATGTCAATGACAAACACACGTATGAAAGAACTGGCAATCTAGGCTATTGTGACTTTGCATGCAGATGTACCCAAATATCTCATATTAAGAAGCCATCTCTTGATAAATACCCCTGACCATAAACAACACAAAAAATGATTGACTGACAAAGGTGGATCAAATAGTGAAATTAACTGTGATCTAAATATGCCATCTTAAGAAGCCATCCTCAGACAATACAAATCCATGACACAAAACGTCATAAAATTTTTAACACATTTATAAAACTGGAGAGAATAATGAGCATATCATGATACTAAAAGAAAGCTGAAGGGCTCATTTACTCCCAAATCTTTCATATATATATATATATACTGTTTAACTCTGCTACTTTGCATGTCTGTCTGTGGCAAACCTTGGTAGACTGAGTTACACAGAACTTCATTGTTATCACGTAGCTCGTACATATATATTACAAATTGCTTGCAATTTGTTTTTGCAATGCGTATATATTTAACTCTTCAAGTATATTATAATAAAGTGCCACTGAATTAATTACAGACAATGCTATCCAAATATCATGGAAATGATGCCTCACTTTCGTGCATGTAGTTCATTGTCATAAAAAGTAAAAAACTACACATGTAACCATTTCTAAGCAAACATTAAAAGTAATACGACAGGCAAACTGATTTAAATGCTAGTGAATGATCAAGAATAACAGGCATTTGAACCATACATCATAAACGTTCAGAATTAGTTTGAAAACTAGTGTTTTCTCATTCCACGCAAGGATACATGGACAGAAGAGAAAGAAACAGTAATCACGTCAGCTGCAAGGAACAAGTAGATTTCAATGATTGCAACCTTCAAAGACATATCCCACACAGTCAATGACACCAATCCTTAGCTCTGGGGACCACAAGTTTACCTTTCCTAGATGGCTATAGCTTAAACTCTATTCCCCTAATGTGATTAAACTAATGATTTTTATGCCTTATGACTATAATAACTTTGTTAGCTATACCATCAATTGAGTACTCCCTAAATAGTAGAACAGCCTAATTAATAGCACACACATAAACACACTTTTACATGTAAAATCTTCAAAAATATGCTAAATAAGTATTTTTGATAAGGTAATAATAAATTAAAAAATAAATGCTGTTCACTTATAACACAAACAAAAATTTGATTTTTGCTTCTCAATTTCTTGATAAATTTAATAAATAGACACAGGAGTGGGAAAAATCTACACTAGTAAATTACTTCTTGAAAATCTGAATAAACTCTTCCAGTAAAAATATAAAACATTTTGTTTTTAAATCTTAGGAACATAATAAAAACTTTATTACAGGAAATTTTAAGATACGCTTCTGTTATCGAGACCAATTTCAGAAATTATGTATGTATGCATACATGCATATGTATGTGTGTGTATGCACATGTATAAATGTACATACTTACATGCATGCATACATGAACATATCTTACATGCACACATACTTACATTTCTAAATTTGGTCTCGATAATAGAAGAGTACCAATTTTAATCAATAAGGGCAAAATAAAAAGTCATGTTTAATTTTTATAAAATGCTTTCACCTACACTATTAACAATTGTTTTCATAAAATTCTTTACCTCATTTCAAAAACTAAAGTAATTAGAAATAGAAGATTAGAATCAATGTTTATGGAAATAATGTCCATGGCCACTTTTTCCAAATATTTTAATAGCTGGCAAGAAACTAAGCAAATAGAAATTTTGAGACAGATCAATAAAAAAAGAAAAAAATTAGAAATAATAGTACAACAAAGTTCCAGTGGCATATTGCTGTCAGCTTGGAAGCATAAAATGAAATAACAGTGGTGAGTACATGGAAATTCTTCATTCTTCAACTCAAATATCCAGTACATACTTCAACTCAAGCAAGCAGCATATTAGAATGCTGCACATAACAACTGAAATGTTTCAGCAAATTTGCATCCATTTAAACTAAATACATGAATGGATGACCAACATACTGTAAGCATTTATTATTTTATATATGGATCACAGAAAAGGGGGAGGGAGGAAATTGTTTTTTTCCTCCCTCCCCCTTTTGCAGAGAATGCAAGGAGAGGAAAATCAGCACAATAAAATTGCCCGTTTCACATAAAAAATGCACCAAACACAAACCATCCTCAGCCATCCAAAATATATTTTAAAATACAGAACAGAAAATGAAGATGATGTCTGCTTAAACCACCATCAGATGAAAAAAGGGAAACAACGAATTGTTGTGATACTTGACTTCAGAAAAGGGAAATTTTATACTGATAATTGTTTCAAGTCATATCAGAACCTCATTGATTTTAAAATTTGTTGTTGTTACAATAAATTAAAATATTGTTCAGGAAAAATAATTTTCCCCAAAAAATTTCCATTAAATTAGTGAATAAAAGTTTATAATGAGGCTAGCTGATTAGATTTTGATAATTTTTTCCTTGCCCAGTATTTTTTACTGCAGATTCGAAGCATATTTCTCATTCATTATTACTGGTAGTTTTCAATTTACGAGGATCTATTCATTTTTCAAACTGTACCAATTTATTTTATAGACCTTAAATCCGCTTCAGAGTTTTTAATTATGACTTTTGTTTCAAATATAGATTTTTGCTTCATTTTTCATTTTATTCGAGTTATTTAAATTTATTTAAAAATGTTAAAATATAAGTTGCTTCACTTCAATATTATTTCCCTGATGTTCTGTTTTTAAGAGTGTACCCCCCTTGTAAAGTTACCAAGTGTTTGGCATAGGCTTACACAATTCTACACTTATATTTGTTACAAAGAAAATATTAATTTACTAAAGAGGAATAAGCCCTTCCCCAAAAAAAGCATAGTATTTTTACAAGAATAATTACTTTCAGATATTTTTTTTTTTTTCATCATACTGTGTAGTTTCATTAACATGCATTTAGATTATCTGCATCCTCACGATAGATCTGCTGCAGAATATGCAACCTACGTTTCAATACTTGAATATTCTACTGATCAAATTGTTTCAACAACTTTCTTTGATTTCTGTATACCAATTTCAGTTTATCATGCAGGGACATATAACATTTAAGTTGTAATCTTTTTTAACTTTTTTTAGCATAAAGTACCCTGGTTTTACTTCCTAAAATATGGAAACCTTACCTTTATAGTTTCCATAATAAAGTACCCCAACTTCAGATTAAAAACTACATTTTTGCAACATTTTGCACATAATTATGAATCATCACAAAACCTAGTAAAGCAAGCAATTTAAAAATAATTCATAAATTAAAGACATGTTTTAATAATATAGTATTTTAAAAATATTTCAATAATATAGGACTACCTTGAAATTTTGTAACAAAGACCCCATTGCTGTAACTAGATCAGTTTTTTTCTTAGTAGCCAATTCTAGTTTCTTTTCCAAAATACTTGGTTTCTCCTTATTTGCTGACATCTTCTTTAATGCCTCATCCTGTTGATGTTTTGTTTCCTTCTCTTCTTTCTTAGGCACTGCAGGCTGCAGAGTTTCTTCTTTCTTAAATACATTTGATGTTGATTCTTCTTCTTTTTTCAGAGCAGTCATGGCAGGATTTTCCTTCAAGTAAAAAGCAAAAGATATTACTGTCACATTTCAAATATCATAACAATATAAATTTAAGTTATAAAAACAGATATACCTTAAAACCACTATTAAAATTTAGGAATCTATTTAACCAGACATTAGACTACAGCAGTAATTAATCACTGTATATTGGATCTTAAGAGGGAGCCATAATTGCATGTGAAAAGTGTATGAAAGTAAAGAAAAAATACCTACAGCAGACCAATACAAATAAAATAATAAATTGCACACAAATGCTGTAAATAACACACACAATTCTGAGCATCTACACAATTTTCAATCACATTCTGAATCATAACCCAAATTTATTAGCTTATAATACACAACGTATTAAATATACCGGGTGGCCATAATTAAACTGACAGTGCTCACAGTGTTCTGTAGCACGATCTATTTGCAAGAATGAAGCCACATTTTGTAGGAAGATTAAACAAGACAGGGGACGAAGGATTCCGCGAAAAAAAAAAAACTAGTTCCAAAAGTCACCGCTAGGGGAATATTTGGCGCTGTGTAATAGAAAATAGAGTGTTAACAAATGCAAATCAATACGGAAATTACCTTTTATTTTGCATTCAAATGAGGTTCAATGTAACTGCTGTTGTTGTGGACCACATATTGCATTCTGTGCACAGTATGCACAACAGCAGAAAGTAACATGTCTGCAGGAATCTCCCGTACAGTCCGTGATATGTTATCCTTCAACGTAGCCAGGTCCTGGACCACTCCTTGATAGACCTTGGACTTAAGGTAACCCCATAGCCAGAAGTCGCATGGGGTAAGATCAGGCGACCGAGGTGGCCATGCAGTTGGAAAGTAGCGGCTAATGACTCTTTCTGTTGTGAATTTCTGTCGTAGCATCTGTTGCACCCGTACAGCAACGTGTGGAGGGGCTCCATCTTGCATGAAAATGATTTCCCCCAGGCATTGTCTTTGCTGAAGTGCCGGAATGACAAAGCTGTTCAACATGTGGCGATATTTCTCTCCGGTAACAGAACAGGTTTCCGGTCCTGTCGGGGTAATGTTCTCATAGAAGAATGGACCTACGATAAATTCCGCTGTGAACCCACACCAAACAGTTACCTTTGGTGAATGTAAGGGAATTGCTGTGACTGCATGTGGTGGTTTGTCATCCCAAATTCGGCAGTTCTGGGTATTCACAGTTCCATTCAGGTAAAAGTGGGCCTCGTCTCCCCATAAGATTTTCCACGGCCAAGCATCATCCACCTCCATTCTGGCAAGAAAGGTGAGAGCAAAAGTCAATCGCTTATCATGGTCGGGGTACAGTAACTCCTGTACACGGCTGATCTTGTACGGATAGAAGTTGATAATCTTTCGTAAGATTTTCCATACCGTACTGTAAGGCATATCCATATTCCGAGCTACTCCACGAGCGCTAGAGGTGGCAGCAATATTGTCTGGTCCTCTGTCGACAATCGCCGTGGCAACTGCTTCGATTGTATCCTGTGGTACAGGTTTTCGTCCTCTGCCTGACTGAACCTTCAGAGAACCTGTTTTCTCAAACGTCGCAACCATTGCTTTTAGCCCATTAACTGACACAGGACCGTTACCTTTACACATTTTTTTGTGCGTTCTAAAAGCACGAAGAGCGGCTGACGCGTTGCACTGGTTGAGGTAAAAGAATTTGACCAGTAACGCACGCTCGACTAAAGAAGGAGACATTGCACATAAACTTTCAATCCGATTGATTCGAAACGTAACACATTGCCTTTTAAAACCCAAGCAGCTGGCACTGTGCAAATGGATGTAACCTGAAATTTGAATAAAGAACTTCTTCTTCTGCTCAGCGTACGTGATATTGCAGATCACGAGACTTTATCGGTGTTCATGTAGATTTTACGCTTTTTTAAAAGTGTTGCCATATTGCACTTGAACTAAATCAGAAAATGTGCATAATAAAAGGTAATTTTATTCCGTATTAATTTGCATTTGTTAACACTCTATTTTCTATTACACAGCACCAAATATTCCCCTAGCGGTGACTTTTGGAACTAATTTGTTTTTTCGCGGAATCCTTCGCCCCCGTCTTGTTTATCTTCCTACAAAATGTTGCGTCAATTTTGCAAATAGATCATGCTACAGAACACTGTGAGCACTGTCAGTTTAATTATGGCCACCAGGTACATAAACACTCATATTTAATGACTGATAATACTACACTTGTTTAATACACACTTTTTCCATACATCCAAATTTTATTTCATAAACTGCATTTATTAACCCGCGGCAAAGTGCGTGGGGTGTATCATACCCCAACCCTACATAAAAGTGGAATATTCCTAACTTGTGAAACTGAAATTCTGTGCTGTATTCAGTAGCCGAGTTTCTAGTTGTGGTTGACGTTTAGAACCGCTTTTTCTTTGCCTGCGTGTTTCAGAAAAAGATTTATCGGTATTTTGTTGGAACCTGGGATATAACACACCCCATGCGCCTGCCGGCGTAAGTGTTTTTCTGACTGAATACTTAGTTCAGAAATTTATTTCTAGAGTGTAACAGTAAATATTTCTACTCGCAAGTGATTTTAAAGTACTTGACATTAAATTCTTAAAAATTTCTAACTGCATTCTGATAAAAAGAATGACTCCCTATGAATTGGAGATGCAACGCCTGTGACTACAAATATTTGAAAGCGATAAAGATTGCATTTCAGAAACTGAAGATGAAACTAGGAATATTTTCTACACTGTTTTCGTTTCGATAAGATAAAACATTAATTCCTAATGTTCCTAAAAAAAGGAAAAACTGTTCTTATGCTTATATAACAATTATATAACGTTATATAACGATCATACTATAGATGATACTAGACTAGAAGAAAAACACGCTAATGTGACAATCAAAATCATAAAAACAACCTTGTATTTAGCGTAAGTATATTGAAACACTCAATCGATTTCGAGGGCAGCTAAAGGTCCCTCCTCATCAGGAGAAAGAAATACATAGTAAGAAGAAAAATAAAGGGGAAGAAGTCTCAGAAACACGTGGTCCTTATCAGCACTGCACGTGGTTATAACCGGATTTTTTAATCAGAGTTACACTGGCTGCCTACTTTTACTGAGCCAGGCTATCAGATCAAACATGTAACACAAAGGACAAGAAAAATTAGCGAAGTTAAAAATAGGGAGTGAGGGGCAACTGCACCTTCACGCTCAAAATCTGAACTTCGAATAATAATAATAATTATTATTCAGTGGCACAACTTGTGTTTCGTTGCCAATCTCATGATACATAAGCAATAATATATAGTGGATGCTGTTAACCTAGGCTAAAATTATACTTTACTGATTCCAAGGAATTTCAGTCAATATAGCAGGTTGCGCTATTCTTTAATTTTCTGATTTGATCCAGCTTGTTATTTTCTGCAGGCTGCTTTTATTATAGCAATTTTATGAAAATTAAAGATTGAATTTTTGCTTATATTGTAAGGATCTTAAGTTTTACTAACGTTTATTTTATTTTAAATCTTTACTATCACTTCTTATTTTCTACTTCTTCCGGCCAGAATTATAAGCGTGAAGGAGTTTATGCAAAGTTGTCTGGCGAACGCCAAGTATTTAAGTGTGGCCTTTTTGCCAAGCAGAAGAGAGGAAGCCGTGAGTTCGAAGCAGGCCGCTTACCTAGAAGTTACGCAGTTGCTACTTTGCCTTCCAGGCCAGAGGTTTTAATCCTCTTGATAAATTAAACGTATTGTAGTGTTCACAGTCTCTGTGCTACATACGCTTTCTGTTATTATAAGGCCAATCTTATCTAAAGTTAAATTAGAGTTTAGTTTTATTTTGATATCTTTTAAGTTAGACCCCGAGTGGAGGGTCATTGTATTCCGAAGTACGGAAGTCATTGTATAAAAAAAAAATAAAGGGTTTGTATACCCTTCGTCTGTATCCTGTCTACTTACTACAATTAGTGAACATAGCTTTAGTAAGCTTCTCTGTTCTAGTCAGGTCTTGTATGTTTCCGAAGAAAGTTAGAAACATTGAACCTGATATGTGGCGCCCGACGAAGAATAACCATGGCCGAGTTTCAAGAAGAACCTGTGCTGCCTGCAGAAAACAGCTCAGAATCCAGAAATGCCAGCTGCCGCCCTGGAAGGATTTGGGTATATTGTCCAGACCATGCGCGCTTCGATAAACCAAAGCAACGTTTAATGGAAACTCACGGTAACCAGTTTTTTTGGAAAAATTGGATGACCACTTCATGCTCTACCCCGTGCACGAGTTTTCAAAAAGTTACCTTAGCTACCAGCGCTTTGAGGGGCCAAGCGCTTAACTGGTTCAAATGTATCGGCAGAAGTCTCTTGGGTCAAGCAGGAAGTCCCACCTATACCTACGAAAATTTCAAGACTGCCCTACTAAAAGCCTTCCCGGTTGTAAGGGATCGTGCGAAATTAGAAACAGAACTTTTCAGTATATATCACAAAAGAATGGAAAAACCTCTCCAGTTTTATTTTAAGAAAAATTCACGTTTTCAAGCTCTTGTATGGAAACCGTCCGGATCCTGAAATAATTCAAGTGATTTTGCCGAGGTTACTACCCCAAGTGCAAGACTTTATTGAATTGAGAAATCCGACTACACTGGAAAATTATTTGAGCTAGCAATCCAGTTTGAAAGTAGAAGAACGGCGGACGTCGAAAGAAACGCCAATATCAAACAGCGAAACCAATTTGGTACGCCAAGACTACAGCAAACTCAAGCACATGGCTACGGAGAAAAAAAGCGAATCAGTGGGCAAGGAAACCGAGCATTCAAAAACAGCCGGCGAAACGTCGACAGTTTCAATAGCAACCCAGGAAAAAAGTCTCAAGGCCAGTGGAGAAAGAGGAAAGCACCGAAAGAAAAATAATTTAAACTAAAACGGATTTCTGCTGACTGAGAGGGTGCGGAAATCCGAAGGCCACGAAAACCCCTCTTCCTACAAGTTAAATACAGTAATGGTGAAAAATTTAACTCTTCCGAAG